GTGGTTTTTCTAACTCCAAAAATTCTACAGAAAAGTATAGTTAGTAGATTTTTGTTTGTCATATTTGATTTTAGATCGTTAAGTGTAATTCACATTTGAGTGAGGAGTTCTAACATTTTAACCTTTCAAAATTAGTAAATGCATACAGCTGCACACTGTCAGAAATGACAACACTTTACCCGAGAACCAACAATAATTGTCTTCATTCTAGGAAACAAGTAATCTTTGTACTTGGTCCTGTGATAAGTCCTAGGAATGCAGAGGAATAAAAAGCTCCTACACTGACTCAGAGGATCTCTGTCTAGTCAGGGAGACAGACGCATAGGAAGTGCTAATGAGACAGGGAAAGAAATGCTAAAAGGTGAATAGGTAAAGATGATAGCAATACCAAGAGCGTCATTATCCTTATTATCATCAAATATAATTTTTTTTTTATCTTCTACCACTAAAAAGTAAGCTCTGTAAAGGTCAGGAATGTGTTTTGCACATAGTTTGTTACCTAGTGCATTGAATGGTGTTTGCATGCAGTGGGTTGTTCAGTTAATATTTGTAAGGAATGAATGAAACCCTGTTACGCCTTAGTAAGTTATTTGTTAACTTACCTATATGCATTTTCATAGCATAATTGTGTTAATGATTGCTCTGTTAAATTAATTTTATCTTGTATGAATTTTATTGGCTTTTTTTTTTGAATGTATGCTTTCTTCATATATTTGGAATTTTGGTTTGTAAGTTTATTTTAAATGGAGTTTGTGGATTTTTTTTCTTCTTCTTTTCTGTCCTCTACCCTGTCATCCTTTCCTCCCCCGTTAGCCTTCTTTATCTAATGGTTTTATTATTGTCCCCCCCTTGAGTGGGTTCACGATCAGATTTTGGAGAATTCAGGGCTTCCACCCAATGGCGATATTGGAAATCCCATTAGCAAATGAGGAGCAACTTTAGCTTACCGTTTTAGTCCTGCTTTGCAAGGCTTCAGCTTCTCGGAAGTGATATCCTCAGGCATGTGTCAACAGTATATTTTGCTTGCTTTGTTTTGTTTTGCTTTCTTTCATGAGTCTGGTGCCCCATCCAGCTTACTGGTTTTAAGCAGTGTGATACTCATCATATCCTAGTAACATGGGGAGTCATCAGAATCAAACTTTTGCCTTTGCTATAGATCTCCTCTTCCTTCTTAATTTTTGCTTCTACATAGTGTACACAAAGCCAATATAGAGTTGAAATTTTGAATGTATAATTCAGCTTTGTATTTTTTAGTGGAAAAAAATATGACCCTCTGCTTGAACCAATGGCGCCATTTGTCCCACCTCCATATCTACTCTACTGGACTTTATGAAGCCTATTCAACCTATGTGATTTGACATTTGTAAGACATTGAAATATGGACCAATTTACTTCTCATGTTTAAGTCTGTTTTTAGAAGATAAACCCAAGTATTTAGCAGAACAATGTAACTTGAGACAAAAGTATTTTATATTTCAGTGACTTTGCTTATAAGTCTCGTAAGATGAAAAGTTTATGAAAGATCAGCTGGGCTCACAGTGGCTTGCTTCTATACTTGAAGATACTTAGGAGGCTGAGGCAGGAGGATGGCTTGGCCGACCTGGGCAACATAGGGAGATCCCATCTCAAATAAATAAATTTAAAAAAATCAGAACTTTTTTTTTTAGAAATTTAATGGACAGTTTCTGAGTTTTATAGCATTTAATACTCAACGTTGGTAAAAGCATAATAAACTTCATTTTTCATAGGCAGAATACGCATTAACTTCTGAAGTACATGACATAAACCACTTTCATCTGTATTGTATCTATGCACAGCAGTGGGGGAGGGGAGTGTGGACTACGACAGGTAAATGAACAAGTGGGAACGTGGCACGTGCAGTTTAAAGCTCTGTCTTATTTAGTGGGAGGGAATAATGAGGTATATTTCTTAGTTTTCATTCCATACAAAAAGAGTTAGAGAAGGTCCTAAAAATACTTTCTATGGTCTTCAACTCAAATTTATAACAACTTTTCCTAGGTGTCTTTTCAACCAGCATTTGTTCAAGTTTGCTTTTACTATAAACTTTGGTCATTTGCTACAAAAGACCCTTCAAGGTTTCTTCTTCTGGATCTAGATGTATAGAATTTATGGTAGTGCCCTGTGTGTGTTAGGTAGAATTTGTGTGAAATGTGTTACATTAAAGGCCTGATACTTGAACAGCAAATGTCATTAGATTTATTTCTCTTCCTTTTAGTCAGTTGGTTGAGATTGTCAGTACATTCAAATTGTTCTTGAAAGTTTTAAGTTTGTGTTGCCTGTTTATTGCATTATTGTATTGTTTTCACAATGCATTATTTTTATGCATTGGGAAAAAGTGATGAGGCTTAATAATTCTTATTAATCTATAAGTAAAATAGCATTTTCCTACTTAAGGAGAGTTAAAAAGAAAATAATAATTTATAACTATGTTACCTTCAACATCCTAGAAGGCATGTCTTAAAAGAGAAAAAGTCATTTCCTACTTTTGTTTCTGTTTCCATAATTTGAAAAAAAGTCTTTGGAAATTTACTAGGCAGTAATTGACAACCACCTGGCATTTGTGTTTGTCATGTCACTGAGCTGGTATTGATAGTGGCAGCTGTCAGACTTAATTGGGTGTTTTACTGTTGATTTCTTCTCAGAACACATTAAATGTGTGTTCATAATTTTTGAGAGTCTTAAATATAATAATGGTTTGTAACAATTGCTTCAGGATTTATAAATAGAGATTTAGATAATTGTTGGTTAAATAAACGTGACACAAAATCCTGCTAAAGTCATTATAATTGGAGGAAAAAATTTCTAACGCAGCCCCCAGTTTAAAAATACAGTTAATTTTTCTTAAAGTATAATTTTTTTTCTTATAGTACTGGGGATTGAAACTAAGGCCTCTATAAACACTGTCTAACTTGATCCATGCCTCCAGCTCAAAGTATATTTTTATAATTATAGACTTCAAAATTTAGTAAAGATCCCAAAGATACTCTAAGCAGAAATTACTATAAGGATAATCTATGAGAAGAATGTGTTTCAGTGTTTTTAAGTTTCAGTTAGAATCACTTTAATTGTTTATAGGGCTTTATTAGGGTGAGAATCATCTTAGGCTGGGTCTTTTCTGTCAAAGGATTTAATCAGTAACCACTGCTGTGACAAATGTTAGTCTCACTAACTTGCTTCCTATATGTTTGCTTCATGGACTCTGCTTAATGTGATAAAAGTTTCTATTAAGAACAAAGGTTTGTCAGGTGCATACCTGTAATCCTAGCTACTCAGGCAGCAGAGACCAGGAGCATTGCGGTTCGAAGCCAGCCAAGGCAAATAGTTCCCGAGACCCTGTCTCAAAAATACCTGTCACAAAAAGGGCTGGCAGAGAGGCTCAAGGTGAAGGCCCTGAGTTCAAAAAAAAAAAAAGAACAAAGGGTGGTTATCCTCAGCTGGACAAAATTCTGCTAGATGAGGACCTAAAATAGTTAAGCTTTTAAACTTCTTTGTCTTCAAAACCTCTCCCTATATCCTCTTTCTAATTAGGCAACCACTAGACTGTGAACCCCAAACCAGCCTAAATCAGGAGAAAGGCAGCATTGCATTAGAGATGAAACCCCAGCAGACTACCCGCTGAGTGTGCTTGCTCTTTGCAGAAGTAAATTTTGCCTTGCCTGTTGACTTCTGAGTTGTGTCTTCTCTCTCTCGTGACACCCTAATATCTTAAAGATATTTCTAACAATTACCAAAGTTCCATTGGAAAATGAGTGTTTATAGGACTTCTTAGAAATAGTTTATACAAGTTTTTATTTGTTTGTTTCTTGGTTTTTACAAAGCATGCTTTAAATTTATTTCCTTAACCCTTTCTTATAGCTGTTGTTTTGCATTTGAGCCAATGTGTGTGATGCTCCCAAGTGAATGACCTTACTGTATATTTGTGTAGAAAACAGGAATAGATACTGAAACCTAATGACAATGCTTGATGGGTTTCATTTCCATTGTGGTTTCTTGCTTGTGCTAAAAAAAAAAAACAAAAATAAAAACAAAAAAAAACCTCAAAAAACTTTTTTTCCCCATAATTCAAACAAGAAATTCAGACTGTAATCAGAAGAACAGCAACAAAATACATGGAGACTCTGAAAATTTGCTGGAGATAATATTGGTAGTGGCAGGGGGATATTTTTCCCTTCCATTTAAAGCTTCACTATACAGTTTTCCTTTGTTAATATTCTCCCAGCAAAATAAGTATGAGTGTGGAAAGAGACTTCTCTGAAAACATTTATGGAATTTTTCCATTTTATTTATTTATTTATTTATTTATTTATTCATCATGGTTTATAATTATTTTATAGTATTCCACAGCCCAGATCTTGCATAAGACTCTCTCATTCCTCTTTTTTTTTGTTAATCAATGAATAAATACATTTTTATTTTTTATTTATTTTTTTTTTTTCCTTTTTCTTTTATTATTCATATGTGCATACAAGGCTTGGTTCATTTCTCCCCCCTGCCCCCACCCCTCCCTTACCACCCACTCGCCCCCTCCCTCTCCCCCTCCAATACCCAGCAGAAACTATTTTGCCCTTATTTCTAATTTTGTTTAGACAGAGTATAAGCAATAACAGGGAGACAAGGGTTTTTGCTGGTTGAGATAAGGATAGCTATACAGGGCATTGACTCACATTGATTTCCTGTGCGTGGGTGTTACCTTCTAGGTTAATTCTTTTTCATCTAACCTTTTGTCTAGTAGAGGCACAATGACTTTCAGAAGACATTTTGCACTATCATAAGACAGTGTGCTGTTTTCAGAAATAGAGAAAACGATTCACTGAACGATGTTCTGCAAGACACCTTCTCTGTTGATATTTAGCTCTAGAATTTTGTAGCTGGTTTTTTTAAGAATGTGTATTTTTTAATTAGCTTAGAGCCATCAATGAACATTGCAATATACTTTTATACACCTGCATGATAAATCAGGTTATCCTTCTTTTTAACAGGATGGTGAAGTGGATGCTGAAGAACTTCAGAGATGTTTGACACAGTCTGGGATTAGTGGAACTTACTCTCGTGAGATCTTTTTTTTTTCCTTCTTCTTGAAATTGGAATAGGAAATCTATTTCTGACTTTTTTATCCCCCACTTAAAACATTAAAAAAATGAGCTATACATGCTCATCATTTAGAGAGTCAAATAGTTCTACAAAACTTTATGAAAATAACTCTTCATTGTATACTCTTGCCTTTCCAACATTAACCACTCATAGAAAAGACCTCTTAGAAAAATTTTTTATCTGATTCTTGAAATTTGCTTCTAGTTCTCAAAATATCATGCTTTTAACATTATATATTTCCAGTTTAATGATTATTAATTAATGTCATGCTATGAAAAATGAGGATTTTAACTTTTTTTTTCCTTGAGATAAAGGGTCTTATTCAGTATTGTTGGCTGACTTAGACTTTGCTCTGTAGCCCAGGTTGGCCTGAAACTCCTGATCCTTCTGCCTCAGTCTCCTGAGTGCGGGTTCAGGCATGCACCACACCAAAC